ATTTTCTGTGTCAATGAGGCTATGAGGTTTTCTTCTGTTTGTTTTTGCTTAATCCAGTCATCATTTCTACCCAGCTCTATAACCCACCACCCCCTCGGACAGCTGTCTGTCTATTCTCTATCTGTGAGTCTGTTCTATTTTGTTTATTTTATTCATTATAGTGCACATGAGTGAAATCAAATGGTGCTTGTCCTTTCTCTGACTGGCTTATTTCACTTAGCATATGCTCTCCAGGTCTATTCATGTTGCCATAAAGGGTAAGAGTCTCTGCTTTTTAATGGCTTAGTAATATTCCATTGTATAAATGTACCGCAGCTTTTTTTATCCACTCATCCGCTGATGGACACTTGGGCTGCTTCCAGATATTGGCTATTGTAAGTAACGCTGCAGTGAACATAGAGGAGCTTATAGTCTTTCAAATTAGTGTTTCAGGTTCCTTTGGATATATTCCCAGGAGTGGGATAGCTCGGTCCATTATGATGTTTTAAGATAGGAATACGTACAAGACCTGTTTAATAAATCTATGCTGAGGTGGAGGTGAGAAGATTGAGAAGACAAACTATTTTTTTGATAGTCAGGGAAAACTTCAAAGGGGTGGCTAACACCTGAGTTTTGAAAGGTGAGTAGGAGGTCATCAGATAGGCATGGAATGGGGCCATGTGAAAGAAGGTCCAAAGGCAGAAAGGGTGAAAGTGAAGCTCTTTACAGGGCTGGAGTCTGGGGTCCATGTAGAACAGTGGTAGAGACCAAATCAACAAGGCTTTGAATGCTGTGCTCAGAGGCTTGCAGCTTATCCTAAAAGCAATGGAGAGCCATGGATCACTTCTAGTCACAAGATGCACTAGAGCAGTGTTCTTACTCTATACTCTAGAGCAGTTGTGTATTTCAGAAAAGCTTAAACAAATCCATTCATTCTGGAAAATAAATGACTCATGAGCTCTCAGGTAAAGAAATGAAGTTCTGAATTGATCGACAGGCATGAAGCAGTAGATGGGAATGATATTTGCTGAGGGAACATGCTGGATATCACTGTAGGTATGACTGGCTTTGTTTAATGGAAAGAGTCATTATTTCAATTTTTAGAGGAGAAAGAACTAATATCTCTGTTTCTGTTTCTTTTCACTACTCAGAGGCTGGTCTTCAGAATTCTTCAGATCATGTCCATGTCCCTATCCTTGACAGGGACTGTTCTGGGGAAACAGCACCCTCTAGAGGAAAGAGTATGTGCATTTCAGGCAGGACGGTAACCACCATTTCCAGAACTTGGGCGTGCTCCCCTCCCAGGGGCCGGGCTAGCTGGGAGTGGAGTGCAGCTGATTGTTTATCTGCTTCTGGCTCTTATCACCAGTGAAAACAAAGCTACTTGGCTGTGGGTGGTGGCACAACAGCTGGGAGCAGCAGATAACAGATGGAGGAGGCAGATCTAAAGGCTGGCAACAGTGGGCACACAGCTGGAGGCGGCAATCACAACGGAGTTTTAACCATTAGCCCAAATCTCCAGTGCCCACAAGTCCATAACCTTAACACTGGGCCCTAGAACTCTAGGTTCTGTCTACTCTGTCTCAGCTGTGATCTTCCACACAGGGTTCCGCGGAGGAACCTCCTGAAAACATGAGACCCATGAGAATGAACCTGGGGAACACAGAAGCAGTTGCTATGATTACAAAGTCCAGGAGCCAGAGCACCAGTTCTACCATTAATTTACTTGGAGCAAATCTCTCTGAGCCTTAGTTTCTAATGGTCTTTCCTATTAGTGGGAGTCAAATTACATATTTAAAAACTGTGAAGTGATCTATAATTAGAGGCTATTTTGGGAATGATAAGGAATGTTTTCCCTCAGTCCCAGGAGTTTCCATTCCTCCAGATATGCAGAATCTTTGCTCAGCACAAACAAAGCTGGACTTTGATGAATGATCCCTGAATGTCACCATAGGAAGTGCTGGGGGTAGAGATGGGGGTGGGGGGCGGCGGGACATAGGCATCGTGACCCTCCATCAGTGGAAGCTTAAAGGCAATCCTTCAGTCTTCCTTGAATATCAATCTAGAATCTTTCCCCCTGCGGCTTGAACTCACTAGTCCTGTTGTTCCTCTTGGAGCTCAAAGAAAAGTCCAAACCTACTTACTTGATAGCTCTTCAAACAAAATATTTGCACACAACTATCATATCCCTCAGATAATCTTTTTTCCTGATTAAAATTCCATGTCCTTCAACAATTTCTTTCCCTTTTTTTATCCTCACCCAAGAATATGTTTTAATGATTTTAGAGAGAGATGAAGGGGGAGAGAGAGAGAGAGAGAAATACTGGTATGAGAGAAGCATTGGTTAGTTGCCCCCTATACGCACCCTGACCAGGGATCAAACCTGAAACCTTTTGGTGTATGGGATGATGATCAAACCAACTGAGCCACCTGACCAGGTCCCTTCAACCATTTCTTGTATGATCTGGTTTGAATCCTCTCATATCCTGATTTTTCCTTGATACTCAATACTGCAGGTATGGGATAAACAGAGCAGAGCAGAATCATCTATTTCCTTATTCTAGATGCTTTAATTCAACTAAAGTAGCCTAAGATTGCATTGCTTTTTTTGGCAAGCAAAAGTAATTCATACATGATTATTTTCTGCCAAAATTTATTTTTATGACCCTGCTTTCCAATCCAGAACTTACTCAGGTAATTTTTTAACACAAATGTGTAATCCAACATTTATTGTTTTTGTTAAGATTTGGCCCACTCATCTGTCTCATTTGGATCCTAATTCTGCCCTTGACTTTGCATTTGAGATCTGGCCCAGCTTTGTGTCATCCATGTAATTGTTTTATATTTTGAATAAAATTAGTATTAAGAACATCAAATAGGGCAATCCCAAAGATAAAGCTTTCTGGTACATGACTAGAAAACTGGTTCCAGGCTATCATGATCCACTCACCAGTACGACTGATCTTTTATTTTTAACTCACCGAGTTATAGTAGCATCCTTTTCATTTTTCTCTGTTGTATCCCCAAGGGCATAATGAGAAAGATTATAAAAAATCTTGCTTAGATATACTTTATCTATTGCATTTCTCTGATTTGCCAATTTGGTAACTTTATCATGGAAACAAATTAGTTTAGTTTAATATGACCTGTTCTTAGTAACCCATGGTGGGTCTTACAGATAACTGCCTTTCCTACACCCTACCCAAGTACTCACAATCTTAATGTTCCACTCTAGAACCTTGCCTAGGATCAATATCTCACCTGTTTGCAGTTTTTGAAATGTACATCATTCTTCTTATTGAAAATTAAAATTATGTTTATTCATCCACTGCTTTCCAGTACTTCCTTTGTTCTATAAGAGTTCTTCAAAATCTCTTGTAGAAGTTTCACATCTTTCCAAGAGTTTGAGGATCAAATGAGAAGGCATACTAATGTGTAAACTTTAAAATACTATATAGATGCAGGCAGTGTGGTGGTTGTTTCTTAATATTACTACTACTACTAAATACTGAATGGGGCTTTACTAGGGCTCTAAATAACAATTCGTCAAACTTCAGAATTATGGAGCTTCCCTTTTGCTCCAAAGTTAACTAAAAATATTAGGAAGTGGATGGCATCCAGGTCTGGCTGAGTAATCTCACTTGGGCAAAAGTTCCAAGTGGGTGTGGGCTTGTAAAATTTGCTCCTGGTTGCCTCTGAACATTCTGGGATTTTCATTCATTGGTGATCTCCAATTTAGTGCCTACTTATGTGGGGATATGAATAGACCCAAATAATTTAGAGTTCTCAATCTAAAATGGAGATTGAGAAGAATAGAGGGAAGTGTGAAGAAGAACGATAAAATGCAATCGTTCAGACCTCTCAGGAAGAAGAATATGATGCGCCTCTCTGTTCTCCACAAAGGACCAAACTCCGCAGAGATACCCAGCTCCTTCCCAGAAGATCTGGCCATCAGATCCAGAGTGAAAGGGCTCAAGTGATTACAATTCTTTTTCTGCTGGAAAAGTACAAGTTACTGCTTGGGCAGGGGTGCCAGATGCCTTGAATTAAGTGAGCTGTCTCCTGTTTCAGAGCTTTGTCCCACTTTCTACTACCAGGACAAATAGTAATCCTGAATTTAAGCTTGTGTAGACATAGCCACTAACATACACTCTTAATCCTCCTACTTCACTCAGTCAAGACAATTTTGCCACCTCCAATGTGGCATTTCTCCCAGTCCTTGGGAAAATGGATGGTTGCTTCTCCTCCACCATTGCTTATTTCTTCTTGCTCTTCTTGTTCTGTGTTCTACCTAATACTACTCCAAACCCTAACCTAGACCAAAGTCCCCCAAATGACACAAATAGATGATGATTGTGGTGATGATACTAATACAAATACATAGTGAAATGGGCTGGGTGCTTAGAGAACATTTTGAAGGGTAGAAGGATGGGCAGTTTTTGCTAATTTCTGAGCCAGAGGAATATCTTAGTATCAAAAGTGAGTATTGACTTAGGGCTAGGGGAAGGAATAGGAAATTAAGGGTATGTGTGTACTAAGGGGAATTGGCCTAGAATGATCTCAACAGGGTAGTTGTTATTGTTGATGTCATTCATGAGGGTGGTGAGGGATTTCAGAATTAGAGATCTTCACAGAATTGGTTTTGTGATGAATGGAGACCAGTAGAGCCCCTCTTTATCCTGGCCCCACCTTCAAGGAACTGTGAACTTACTACTCTTTCCTCTCTGCCTCTCCTAAGAATTACAAATATTAGGCTGTATTGTAATTATTTGCTTACTGAACACATCTTTCTCACTAGGCTGTGAGTTCTTGAAGAGCAAGGATGATGTCATTTTCTTCTTTGACTTACCAATATCTTGCACAGTGCCTGGCCTATAGAAAGTGCTCAAGAAAACATTTATTAATAAAAGAATAAATTAGTGGTATCAAAATGAATGTTATCTCTTCCTTCCCATGGGGTGGTGGCCAGGAGTTGGCTGGATTTTGCAATAACCTCCATTATGCTGTCTTGCTCCCTCCAGATGACATCAGTTGCCAAGGTATATTACAGTCAGACCACTCAGACAGAAAGCCGGCCCCTAATGGGCCCAGGGATACGACGGCGGAGAGTTCTGACAAAAGATGGTCGCAGCAATGTGAGAATGGAGCACATTGCTGACAAGCGCTTCCTCTACCTCAAGGACCTGTGGACAACCTTCATCGACATGCAGTGGCGCTACAAGCTTCTGCTCTTCTCTGCGACTTTTGCAGGCACCTGGTTCCTCTTTGGTGTGGTGTGGTATCTGGTAGCTGTGGCCCATGGGGACTTGCTGGAGCTGGGTCCCCCGGCTAACCATACCCCCTGTGTGGTACAGGTACACACACTCACTGGGGCCTTCCTCTTCTCCCTTGAATCCCAGACCACCATTGGTTACGGCTTCCGCTATATCAGTGAGGAGTGTCCACTGGCCATCGTACTTCTGATTGCCCAGCTGGTGCTCACCACCATCCTGGAAATCTTCATCACAGGTACCTTCTTGGCGAAGATTGCTCGGCCTAAGAAACGGGCTGAGACTATCCGTTTCAGCCAGCATGCAGTTGTAGCTGCCCACAACGGGAAGCCCTGCCTTATGATTCGAGTTGCCAATATGCGTAAGAGCCTCCTCATTGGCTGTCAGGTGACAGGCAAACTGCTTCAGACCCACCAGACCAAAGAGGGTGAGAACATCCGGCTCAACCAGGTCAATGTGACTTTCCAAGTAGACACGGCTTCTGACAGTCCCTTCCTCATTCTACCACTTACCTTCTACCATGTGGTAGATGAGACCAGTCCCTTAAAAGACCTCCCCCTACGCAGTGGTGAAGGTGACTTCGAGCTGGTGCTGATACTAAGTGGAACAGTGGAATCCACCAGTGCCACCTGCCAAGTGCGCACTTCCTACTTGCCAGAGGAGATCCTTTGGGGCTATGAGTTCACACCTGCCATCTCACTGTCAGCCAGTGGCAAATACATAGCTGACTTCAGCCTTTTTGACCAAGTTGTGAAAGTGGCCCCTCCTAGTGGCCTACATGACAGCACTGTACGCTACGGAGATCCCGAAAAGCTCAAGCTGGAGGAATCATTCAGGGAACAAGCTGAGAAGGAGGGCGGTGCCCTTAGTGTGCGCATCAGCAATGTCTGATTGCTTGGTTTCCCATCTACCTATCCCTCTGGTCTCGCTTTCTTTATTGGCAAGCTGGGTGATGATATTACCCAGGCTTACTGGAGAGTTCCAGAAACACCCATTCCCACTCCCTCTCCTTTAATCCAGTGGCCTGTGGGAAGTCTAGGCCAACTGGAGTCCAAGTTTTCTTCCCATCCTCCTCTTTCACCTCACCCCACTTCCACCACATTATACAACACCCCTACCCTTAAGCCAGGATGGGGGAAGGAGAGGGGAGATTAGGCTGAAAGGCTTGGAGGCCGCAGCCATGGTTGGAGGCTCATATTAGGAGGACCATGCAGTTGGATGGATTGACTCTCCCCCACCTCCCACCACCACTCGAAAGTTTGGTGATTTGAGGCTGGAATCCCCTCCCTCTCTAACTTTCTAACTAGTAAGTTCCCTAAGGCAATCCCTCTGATGATCCCCTTAGGGTCTGTGTCCTCAGAAATATAGGAATCTGGAATCAATTTACACTGAAGTCTCTACCAACCTGTTGAAAGAAGTCATGGTTTTTCATGTGAATTTCTATTGGTAACTCCTGACTTAACTTAGGACCTTGGTCACCACTATTTTCCTCTTTGTAGTTTCTAAAGCGGACCATCAGGATACTCAGTTCTGTCATTGATGCCTCTGCTCACAGAGAATTGGATTGACCCAGGAAATAGAAAACCTAGTCACAGCCACCACACCTGTACCCATCCTGGATTCTGAACTCTTCATTGTGGAATGACAACTGCAGAGCTATTGTCCAAATCCCTGAACCTGTCCTCCAGGTCACCCTGGGAGGATTGGCTTCCCAGTGTCCTATGAATGGGATGCCCCTCACCAATGTGTTCCCTGAAAAAAAGTCCAGCACCTAGCCCCCACGGAAAGGCCTAGAAATGCCATCCCAGATTACCCTGCCTTTGGCTTCCCTCCTTTCCTGCCCAGCCCACTGTTCCCTTAACCCCAAAAGAGGAAGCGGGGGAAATGCAAGGGTCTCCCTCTCTTAACACTCATGTTTGACTAAAACTAGACTCACAGAGCGCAGAGTTCCCAGGAAAGCTAAACCAACCAGACCAAGTAGGATGAGTAAATTCTCAGATTTCCAGGCTGTTATATAGAGCCTCTGGGAATTGGGGATGCTTTGTTAAGTTTTGGGCAGAGTCACAACTCTGTGGCTGGCAGACACTATTCTCCCTGTTACCCCTCCCAGTGTCCTTCTGAAAAGTGCCAGCTATTTCACTAGGCAATGCTGGGAGGAAAGGAAATTATACCTACTGATCAAATAACCATGGTCTCCCTTACCATCCCTGAGATTTGGTATAAAATGAATATCAGTCTCATTTCTGCTTTCCTTTGCCATGAGGCCAGTTTCAGGCAAGTTAAAGGGCTTACTTTAAGAGATCAGACTCAGGCCATTCTTTGTTCCCTGGTGGGGACTGCAGTAGAGGTCAGGAAGGGCATATGGGCACCAGAACTTTTTCTAATACTTCAAATCCCAAGAATGCTTCCTGGTCCTATTTAGGTACCAAGGGGCCCTCCACCCACACCCCAGAGTGGTTGGGTATAGAGTCCCTATATGAATCAAGTGGCAGTTTGTTTACGGTGAACTCAGCCAATTGTTGCTAACTGTACACTTCTACAGAATATGTATATGCATATACTCATTCTGCATGCAGAGCCTTGCAGAGAAACTCATGAAGTTTTGAGGCTGGACTCATGGTCACCACTTACAATTGCACAAGATCCTCTTACATTGATCGCTCCTTGAACTCTAAATTATATCTTGAAGACACTTAGTTCTCCATTTATGGTAAACCCCACCATTACTCCCTTGCTCTTAAGAAAGCAAGAACCAGAAAAACTTGAAAATCTGAAACAGAATAAAACATAAAGAGCCAGCTTCTGGGCTCTCACCTTTATTCAACGTTAGACATATCTAATTTCTTTTAATGTGTAAGGGCAAAAAGTACTGCAGTGTGTGTGTGCATGCGTGTGTCCGTGTGTGTGTGTGTGTATGTGTGTGTGTGTGTTCTTATCTATTAGCAAGTTATCCTCCATCTAGTTTCTTCAGCACACAGCTGCTTCCCGTCTCAGGGAATTGCTCTCTTCCCACCCCCTGATTCTCCTCACATTCTTGGATAACAAAATGAGAACATTTTCTGACTTTGATTCTCCTACATAATCCTAGACTTTGCTCTAAATTGCACTTTAAATCATACTGACCTTTTAATACAACCTGGTTTATTCTCCCATAATTCCCCTTCCTCCACCTTCCAGAACAACCTTCCCCCTCCACTGTCAACCCTAAATGGCTCTTTAGACTATAGCATCCATTTCCTCTGAGCTGAAATCCTCTTTCAGGCCATCAGATAGGCTTCAGAAGCAGCCAGGTCTGGTGAGAAATGAGACCTCTGACCACACCAACCATGAACTTGGCATGTCAGGAGAGCACTGGGCACAGATGTTAAAGGGGGAGATTTTGGAGGATGGGCAAAACAACTGATGAGGGCAAAAAAAAAGATGAGCAAGTGTGCTACTGAGGAACTTAGTGAAATCGATGAAACCCTTGAGTTTTATGTGAGCTAACAAACAAGATGTAAGTAGAGGCTTGGTAATTAGGATATGATATATATGAAAGATTTATCTAGAAAAACAGAGATTATATATATATATATATATATATAGAGAGAGAGAGAGAGAGAGAGAGAGAGAGAGAGAGATGTATATAAAACCAAACATACTGAATGTACACAAAGAAGTGTTCAGAGATCTTAGCATGGGGGCAGATATCTTACTCTGGTTTTGGGGTAGGACTCTCCAGATTTCCAAATTTAACAACCAGTAATCATAGTTTCAATATGAAAGTGAGATACCTGATTATGGGAAAGAGAGTGGTGGAAGCTTCCCTTCAGAAATAAAAGAGACATCTATTGAGGCTTCTGATAAAGCCTGTGTTGCTGATAGGACCAGGGAGACAGGAGAAAAATGGAGACACTATATCCATAGAAATCTAGGATTCCTTCTTATGCTGTGCTCCCATTCCCAGAAGTATCCTGTCACTGTAGCACTTTTTAAAATTTCTAAATAAAAGTACCCTTCTGTTTCCCTTTTGAAGTACACTGAATTTCCTCTTCTTCCACAAGGGTGGGGGCAACTGCAACTCCAGTCCCTGGAGGCCATGCCTATTCAACTGAGAAGCTGAACACTTGGTGTGCAGAGGCACTGAAGAGGGGCCTAGACTTGAGAACCCAAAGGCCAGGATGAAAGAGATGTTGAGCCCAAGATACTCTCAAGGCAGAGACTCAGCCGTCTATGTGGCTGCAAGCAGCCCAAAGAGAATGCTGTCTATACTAGAAGTGTCCTGAGTTCCAATCCTGGCAAGTTTAAATGCATACTTTTATACCTTTTGGGTATGGGGGCATGGTACTTTAATGTTGATGCTTCTGTATGAAAATGAGTAGGGCTACTAGCTGCCCTAGAGGCTCATGCAGTTACATGAGAGGCTTCCAAAATCCCTGCTCTGTACTTCGTTATCACTATTCCTTCAACCTGTCAGCTAATAAGACCATTCAGAGATTTCCCTATAAGGCCTCAGCAAAGAAAGGAAGCCAGTCTTACAATTGCTCCAGGTCAGGGACACTGCTCCCTCCCCAAGGCTGCTACCCTGGTCTTTACCCCTGCTATTTAACCTAATTTATTTGTAAAATAACACACTATGTTTGTGGTAAAGTTAGCACAAGCCTCCAGGCTCAGTAATGGCCAATTCTACTGAAGCAAAAGTATCTAGGGATAGTTTTCCCATCCATTGCATTCAAGTAGGTCAAATTTACCTAGGGAAAGGATGTGTGAGATTTCTTTGGTTTATTTTATTGTTGTCTGTTCAGAAAAGCTACTAAATAAAATGGATGAATCTTTGTTCTTTGCTCCAGCTTCTTTTAGAAATCCAAACCTAATCCTTACTATTAAGGTCTGAACTCACAGGTCTGCCTGGAAAGGAGGCTCAATTTGGCTGTGCTGGAAGAACTTCTTATAATGTGACCATGTCTTTTCCCTTCATCGCTATCATCCATTCCCTCTACATCTTTCCTACACCTTCCCTGGTTAACTTTAGGGTCCTTTATTAGACACCTTTCAAACTCAGTTTTTAAAGAACAAGTTTTTTTAAAAGTTAAGACCCGGAAATCTGAAGTTTGGCTCAGCTTAATCCAGGAAAGTCAAGTTGCTTTGGATCCTGGGCACTGTCCCTTTTGCCAGTGATCATATGCCCAATTTCCCTTCCATGTTACCATGTAGATATTCCTTATATATCCTCAAAGCTCTATAAGCCTATTCAATTAATTGCTGGACATTTCTTCCCCCAAATTTCAAAGAAATGGATTTTTCTTCTATTCTTATCTGTCATTAGCCTGGTTCAGTATTTAACCCTAAATTCTTTCTAAGAGGAGATGCAACAGATCCCATAGTCACTGATTCTTGTTCCTCAGAAATGGGAGGACCAAGAAAGGATGGAGGAAAAAAATTGGATCTTATCATCATCAATAAATACTTATTTACATTTGGAAAACACTAGTTTAGAGGTGAGTCATATGACATATATGATATATAAGATATATGAAATATGGTCCCTTAAAGTTTGAAGAAACTTACAAAAGTGTGAGGAAAACAAGCTAAAATAACAAGTAGCATACACTAAGGGCCAGATATACCATTAACAACAAGTTCCAAAGAGTGAGATCTCTGTGGAAAACATTTCACAGGGACAGGCACTAGGCAAGGGATGATATCAATCTAAGAGTTCTCATTAGAACACATTTGACATAATATTCAAGAAAAAATCAGCAAATATCAAGTCCCTATTAGGCGGAAGGCACCATTTAAGTAACAAAGAAATGGAAGACAAGATATACTCCATAAAGGGATATACAATCACATTAGGTTTTGCACCTGCTTCTGTGGAACAGTCTCTAGTATTTGCCAACCCCCAACCTTATTGACTTTTACTATGCCCATCTTAGATCAAACCCCATTACAAGCTAAGCTATGATTGCACCCTGTATTTCTCTTCATAGTTCTTACCACAGTTACAATTTTATATTTCTTGAAAATTTATTTGACTAATGTCTGTCTCACTCAGACATTAAATGCCATGTGACTGGAATTTGTGTCAATGTGTGGTCACCAGGGACCTAGTGACCAAGATGATCAAGCTCAACACTTAGCACAGCATCTGGCACGTATGATGCTCAATAAATGCAGCAAAAGAAGAGAATAGAGAGGAAAGGAACTTGCCTAAAGTTCACACAGCTAGTTTGCTGTAGAGTTGGTACATTTGTTAAATAACCATAAAAGATTTCTATAACATATTTCATAAGGCATGGCATAATTATTACAAAATAGAACAAATCATTTCTACTTACTAAGGTCTGGGAAGAGATTAGGGAGAAGAGAAATACAATTCCTTGTAGGTGGTATAGCATGAGCAAAAGTATTGTAGGAAGAAAGCACAAGACATGTTTAAGGGATGGTTAATAAGCTTAGAATTAAGGGCCTTATAGGTGAATAAGTTAAAAAGGTAGAGTAATGGAAGGCTTAAATGTCAGGCGAAATAGTTTATTATTTTTTGTAGGCAGTTGGGAAATATTGAAGATGTTTGAGGAAGGACAGGATCTAATTAAAGTACCAATTATGATTATCAATCTGGCACTAGAATTGAGAGACAGGAGACACTGAACCAGCTAAGAAACTTGCAAAAGATTGGGGGAAAGGTAATTGTCACAGACCCTAGAATAGTATAGGTCAGCAGTCCCCAACCTTTTTGACACTAGGGACTGGTTTCATGGAAGACAATTCTTCCACGGACTGGGGTGGGAGGGATGGATTTATAGTCTGCCACCAGATGCAGCTTAATTGTCACTTGCCACTCACTGATAGGGTTTTGATATGAGTCTGCAAGCAATTGATTTATTATGGTCTCTGGGCAGTCACAACTCTTTGCTAATGATAATCTGTATTTGCAGCTTCTTCCCTGCGCTAGCATTACCACCTCAGCTCCACTTCAGATCATCAGGCATTAGATTCTCATAAGGAGTGTGCACCCTAGATCTCCGTGTGCTCAGTTCACAGTAGGGTTCCAGCTCCTATGAAAACTAATGCTGCCACTGATGTGACAAGAGGCTGAGCTCAGGTGGTAATGTGAGCAATGGGGAGTGGCTGTAAATAGCCTCATTCACTTGCCCACTGCTCACCTCCTGCTGTGCAGCCCGGTTCCTAAGAGGCCACAGGTCTGTGACCCAGGGATTGGGGACTCCTGGTATAGGTGTTCAATCCTATTAAATTGAGTTGTTGAAGGCCTGGATTAAGGATTCTGAGCATGAAAATTAGAAATTGATTAAGAAAAGAAATAGATTTAAAAAATTACTAAGTAGGAAATATAAGCAAGATCTAGCAAAAAAAAGAAAAAAAAAGTAATTGAATTAGTCAGGGTTCTGGCAGGAAACAGATGGCACACTCAAAGGGCTAACTGGACATGGTTTAATGAAGGGATTATTTACAAAGGTGTGGCTGGGGTTAATAAACCAACAAAGGAATAGTGAAATATCCTGGGACTCGCAACAGTAGGAAGCCTTTACCAATTTTAAACTTACAGGGACAGTTATTGGAATCTGGTGAGAGTGGTAGCCAAGGGAGAGGGCTACAGCTTCAGTGGAAGCCATGGCCTTAGGTAGAGGAACTAAGATACTAACAAAAGTCTGCTAGTACCTCCCATTGACCTGTTCTGACAGGAAGCCAGAGGGTAAGGAAGCTTATGTGATGTTGCCCATAGAAATTAACCATGTAGAGCACAGATGGCAAAAAGATGTAGAATGGATCTGAAAAGGTAATGAGAGCATATACAGCATAGTGACCAATGTCAAGGTACTGGCTAAGGCTGCTAGGGATCAGCTATACATGTCTCTGCTTTCCCTAGCCACTGGCTCTAAATGGCCACTGGATGGAAACCTAGAGGCAGAGAGTGAAAGGGAGGATTAGGAAGAACTACAATAGTTCAAGAGGTAATGAACAGTTGAGCATATGGAAAAAAATATAGCTCTTTCAGAGAGAAGTGAGAAGATAGAATCTCTAAACCCAATGCAAAAAGCTCGATATGGGGTCCTCAGCCTCTGTGAAGTTCTCTCCCTAGAAATAGTAATGGAAAGCAAACTCCCCTGTCCAATTTATTTTACGGGACTCCAGTCCCTTTTTCATTCCCACAACTACTATCTACATCTCCCTCCTTTGACTTCCGTGATCCAAACTTAGTTTCTTTTGATTAGTTGTTTCCTTATCTGCCCAAATTAGGTGACTCCCAACTCTTTATTAAGTCTCTATAGAGGCAAATTGGCTGAGAGCTTTCTGTCATACAACCTATAAACCAGCCCATCCAGGGGACTCTTACTTAGTTAATCCTCAGACATCTACTTCCCATATGCTTTACTTTCTGGAACCAAGTCTCGTTTATTTGACAGAGGAAAAGAATAAATCAGAGAAGAATCACAGAGAGACTATGAAAAAGATTCAGACAAGAGATCAATGGGAGGAGGCCAAGAAGAAAATCAGAATTCATCATCAACATTTAATTTCAAGTTAGCTGCACAGTGGTTAAGAATACTCTGGGCCAGACATACCTGCTTTTGAGTTCTGACTCTGTCACTAGTTCACTCTGTCACTTAGAAACATTACTTAATATCCAAAACCTTGATTTCTTCATTTGTAAAAATCAGAATATCTACGATTCTTGGTAAACATTTAGAACAATGCCTGGCACATTGCAAATAATTCTACAAAGCTGATTATTAGTAATCATCATCAGCATTATTAGTCTTTAAATGGTGATATGCTGTTCTTGTATATATGGTTACTGAAATGCAAAAAAAAATGGTTAAAAGTAATTATCAATATAAGGCATCTAATTACACCAAGACACATAAAAGGGCAGAGATATCAAAATATGAATAGGGAGTATGAAAGAGTAACATGTTCCTCCAAAGGATAACTAAAAATTGTATCATGGATGAATGGAGGGTAGTCCTGGGAGCTGCATGCTCAGATTGGGTAAAATCTTTTATTTTCCTTACACTAGGTTAGAAGACTGCCCATAGGAAACAGGATCAATCTGTAAAATCAAGTCAGTCAGTATTCACCGAACATTTACCATGTGTCTAAGACTGCAAAATATACGAGCACCTGAAAAAAATTAAGGATAAGATACAATCTCTAACCTCAAAATCCCTACCATCTCATTGATAGGGTTATAAATACAGTCTAAAGTAAATTATGAAATTCCACAATGCAGGCTGTAAGTGCAGTAAGTGCCTGCAGAAGGGAAAAAGCTAATGGGTTGAAGTCCTTGGTGAGAAATTCATGGAAGTAGGGTTGAAGTGGGGTAGTGAAGGGGGCAAAACTTGAGATAGGTAAATGCTATTTGAAAGAGAAAAAGGACTAGAAGTTGGGAGCACTCCAAGGATGCCACTCTTGAGGTATTTTGGTAATAGGAATATCTAAAATCAATTCAAGTGTTACAGAATGTCTACTATAGTTCTGGTAATGTGTCAGATGCAGAGGTACATAAAAGGACAAAATAACATCTGTTCTCAAAGAACTCAAAAGTGTCCTGATGGAAAACTAGGAAAGAGAACACACAAAAAATCAGTTATCATAAAGCAGTGTGATAAATGCTATAATAAAAAGATGGTCATTCCAAAAGGAAGTTTTGGAGCTCTTGGGGCAGCAGGTATTGGAGCAGGGCAGGGCCTTTGTGTGTAAATGATTTTCTAGAGCTTCGGGCCTCTCTACCCTCAGTTAGTGGAGAGGTCTGGTATCTAAATCATACTGCCTGGTGAAAAATAAGCTGAAAACCAAAATATGCCTTTAGGAGTTAAACCTTGAGTAGAGGCCTGAAGGGCTAAGTAGTGACGGGACGGGAAGGCAACCTTGGCAGAAGGAATAGCAATTACAATGGCTGCGAAAGGGCCTGCAGACCAGGCAGAGTTTAGGAACTCTACGAAGCTTCCCTGTCCTTCCCCATCCTTCCACCTAGAGTTGCCTAAATTCGAATTTAGTAAACTTATCATTTCAAACACGTATAAACACGTCCAAATACTGCAGGGGATGTATGCGCTCTGGGCTCTCTTCAACTCATCCTAGCCCGTATCGCAGGGGCCCACAAACCCCTGCGATAGCCCGCGAACTGGCGGACTAAGGCATGAGAAACTATCACAGATTTTTTAGAGTTTTCCTTCATTCCATTTTTCTTGCTTTGGTTTCCTGCCCAGACATGAGGAATATAGCTCGCAGATCGTTCCGTTTCAGGGTCTGGCTCCACCGACTGAAGGTAGGGCTGGGGGGAACGGGTTCACAAGCAAGAAACCCCCACTCGGCTTGGTAAAATGACAGCCCAGCAAAGCGGAAGTCGCACTCTATAAGGACCAGAAATTCCGCCCCCGCAGGAGGAGGGCCTAAAGCGAGACAACCAACTCAGAGAAAGGTAATTGTTCGCTGGAGTGATTGAGAACCCGGCACTGGGCTCGTGACCGGAAACAGCATGGGGGCGGGCTTCATGCCGGAAGTGTTCACCGGTAGTTGTTTCGAATGGCCGCCTAGCCGATAGGGGATGCGCGGGCAACCGGAGGCGAGGAATCAAATCGAAGGTTAGCGATTCCAAGGGCAGTTTCGCGCTGGGACTGAGCGGCTAACCGCCCAGTCAGATCATGGGTCTGACCGAGCACTGGGGAGAATGGTTCCTGAGCCATCGAGTACACCCCGCCGGGGTGTTTGGTGTGGCCTTCCTTGCCCGAGTCGCCCTGGTTTTCTACGGGGTTTTCCAGGATCGGACCCTGCGCGTAAGGTACACAGACATCGACTACCACGTCTTCACAGACGCCGCGCGTTTCGTCACGGAGGGCCGCTCGCCTTACCTGAGGGCGACCTACCGTTACACGCCACTGCTTGGGTGGCTCCTCACTCCCAACATCTACCTCAATGACCTCTTTGGAAAGTTTCTCTTCATCAGCTGCGACCTTCTTACAGCTTTCCTGTTATACCGCCTGTTGCTGCTTAAGGGGTTAGATCGCCGCCAGGCTTGTGGTTACTGTGTCTTTTGGCTTCTTAACCCCTTGCCTATGGCGGTATCCAGCCGCGGCAATGCGGACTCGATCGTCGCCTCCCTGGTGCTTATGGCTCTGTACCTAATAGAAAAAAGACTCGTCGCGTGTGCCGCTGTATTGTATGGTTTCGCAGTGCATATGAAGATGTATCCGGTGACCTATATCCTCCCCATAGCCCTCCACTTGCTTCCCGAACGCGACAATGACAGAAGCCTCTGTCCATCCCGGTATTCCTTCCAGGCTCGTTTCCACCAATTTCTGAAGAGGCTGTGTGATCGGGCTGTGCTGCTCTTTGTAGCAGTTGCTGGACTCACATTTTTTGCCCTAGGTTTTGGTTTTTACTATAAATATGGTTGGGAATTTTTGGAGCACACCTACCTTTATCACCTGACTAGACGAGATATACGTCACAACTTTTCTCCATACTTCTACATGCTGTATTTGACCTCAGAGAGCAAGTGGAGTTTTTGTCTGGGAATTGCTGCATTTCTACCACAGTTAATCTTGCTTTCAGCAGTGTCTTTCGCCTATTACAAAGACCTTGTCTTTTGTTGTTTTCTTCATACGTCAGTTTTTGTGACTTTTAACAAAGTCTGCACCTCCCAGTACTTTCTTTGGTACCTCTGCCTACTGCCCCTTGTGATGCCACTAGTGAGAATGCCTTGGAAAAGAGCTGCTGTTCTCCTAATGCTGTGGTTTATAGGGCAGGCTTTATGGCTGGTTCCTGCATATCTTCTTGAGTTTCAAGGAAAGAACACCTTTTTATTTATCTGGTTAGCTGGTTTGTTCTTCCTTCTTATCAACTCTTCCATCCTAATTCAAATTATTTCCCATTACAAGGAGAAACCCCTGACAGAGAGACTCAAATATGACTAATACATGCTCCAGTTCTTCTGCCACTTCTACTACATTATGATTGTTCTGAATGGACCAGGAGAGAGCTCTGGAAAATTTTTAAACATCCTAAGCACTCTAGTGATTGTTCAGTTTGAAGCATAATACCTTGATCCAACAAATTAAAATAAATGTCTGCCTTGTGTATAAAGGGGACTAAGTATTAACATCCACCCTTTAGGAAATGAAAGGGCTGTTTGAAAATGGAAGGACTGATGAAACTATTGGATATGAAAATGTTTTTGTAGAAAAATACATTTTATAGAAATGTAGTCAGAGACATAAGGTCTAAATATTTGTTCCAGTTATACTATGCTACTGTCTGAAGCAGTCTTCTTTTAACGCCCACTTTTTCTTTCTAAAGCTTTCCTGATAGCTGTGGAAACTCAAAAAATGTTCCTAAAACACAGCTTTTAGATATAAAGTGTTCAGTAATACTACTGTATGTGTTTAGGTTGGGAAAATTAGTTCTCTATTAAAAGTGGTGGCTTAGGAGATCAAGAACCCAAAGAATTTAAAGTGTAGTCCTGTTTCATGTATTTGTTTTATAACTTAGTTTTTCAGTGTTTAGTCCCAGTGGTATTAGATTACCATTTGGTTTTATACAAAAGGGATTAAACTTAAATTCATCCATTTTTAAACTTGAGTTATTACATATTTTAAAATAGCATCTTGCTTTTGATGTTTGAGGTCTGCAAACTATTAGGGCATTAGGACATTTTAATGTTCCCTTATACGTCTTTGTTTTTAATTCTTTGATTAACAAAAAAATATTTTTCATCTAAGTTAATCAACTGTTTTCTGTTGTAGAAATGAATATATTTTAGGTGATAAAAAATCAAATTGTTAGTATGGCATTTCCCAGCTTAAAGCTACCTGACTTATGAAAATTCCATGATAGAGATTGGAGCCCTGCATGAGAAGCTCCTGGAAAGCATAAGAAGCATCCTAAGTATTCATTAGTTTTTTAGACCAAGAAATATAGGGAGAGACTGTGGAAATGAGGCTTTGCAGATCCACTTCCCTTATTACTCTAATATTTTTTGTAAAAAATGCTTTCTGAGTTACAACCAAGCACCCTAAAAAAATTTTTTTTAACATAGCCCATTAGGTTAGGGATCCATAATACTAAACTACAGTAGTAATATATGAGTTTGATTTTATGATTGTGATTTTAAAAGATGAATAATTTAACATGGCTCTTTCACAGTAAAACAAACAAAAACTCTCCAGAGAAGTAATATATTTCATGTCAGGTCAGGCCTAAAAAAGCCATTGAGAACAAGATGTGTCTAGGCGGTCATAGTTAAGAATGCTATTACTGGCAGCATTTTGATGGGCATCTTTTTGGAAACTGCCATTAGAAAAAGGGGAAGAATGGATGGCTTTGCATGGGTTGCAGTTTTTGTGAAAATAGCAGAGACAGTTGAACACAGTGACCTTGTATAATATCTAATCTCATATCCCACATTAGGTATTATTTTAACTGTTAATTATTGGCCTTTCAGCCATGCCATTCATAACTTTTTCATTTTTTTTAATAATAGAAATTAAACTTCTTTTTTTTTTCCTGATAGAACTGGCAGGGAAGTGGGTGGGTAACAGAGTTCTAACATCCCAATATAATTGTCTTTTTGGTATTCTTGACTTCCTATTTTTTAAAATAGTCATAAGTATATTTACTTACTAATTTTTTTTACTTAAACATTTTTTTTGTGACTTACTCTTCATAGCTATATTGAAATTACAAGTAAGTTTACCTTGTAAGTGCATCATTCTGTTAGACCCTTAAGATTGCTTTTAATTTTTAATATTCTACATAAGACTTAAAACATTTTTCATGTTTTAGATCATTCCCTTAACATTCTTAGAAGTCAGTGGAGTTCTGTTGGGGTCTTTGGAGGGAACTTCAACTCCAGATCCTGCCCTGCAAGAAATTCTCTACCAAAGAACTACAGGTGTTCCTTAAAAGGTGCAAAGTATTTTGCAGCTTATATGATGCAAAAAACTTAGTAAGTTAACTCAAGAGATTATTTTATTTGGTTTCTTGGAGTTTTAAATTTTTTTCATTTATTTTTCTTTTCTGGTTTAGTGAAATCTTTTTTTTTTTTTTTTTTTTTTTTTTTAGTCTTCATTTACTTGCACTTTTTTTTCGTTATTGGTCTTGAATAACACCTTAATATTGTATAGTACTTTTGTTTTTTTCCTACATAATTCTTTTTGTTTCACCCCTTAAGTGTACCCATTTACAGATAAGCATTAATTATTAGCATACGAGGATTGGTTCTCAATATAGTCTATGTTCAAAGCAGAGGGAACTACATAACTTATACTGTAGTTGCCTTAATGTCTTCCAGCTATGGTCTCTCAATATACCTAGATAAGTTCCTTGTATTAGGTCCATTGGAAAGGCTAATACTGTCTCCTATCCCCACACAAACAAATTCTTTTCTTAAAATCCTAGATTTTAGTTAATGACTCCTTACCATCTGGCTGAATGACTCTTAAGTGACTTAACATTGTTTTAAAAATCTAGTAGGACTTTTTTTTTTTTTTTTTACAGATGAGTTTAAATTTTTTTTATTTTTTTATTTTTAAATCATGTTTATTCTATTACAGTTGTCTCAATTTTTCCTCCTTGGCCCTCCACCCATCTCACCCAGTCCCCTTCTCCCACAGTCAGTTCCCACTCAGTTCCCAAGTCCCACTCCATAGGACTCGTCTTTTAGTTAATTCACTTTGGCTTAATGTGGGATATATTGTTATTTCCCCATCAGCTTTTTCTGCCTTACCACCCACACTTCAATCATCTATATGATGAGTGGGAAAAGAAAAGATGGAAAATTTCACCTAGGACTGTGCCTAAATGCAATCACTCCCTGTCTCCTCCATACTTTATTATGAACAGTTTTTTTTAAAAAAAGATTTTATTTACTTTTAGAGGAACGGAGGGAGAAAGAGAGGGAAACATCTCCATGTGTGGTTGCCTCTTGAGCACCCCCTACTGGGGACTTGACCCACAACCCAGGCATGCTCTGACTAGGAATTGAACCTGCAAAACCAGAGGGTTTGCAGGCTAGTGCTCAGTGCACTTAGCCATGCCAGCCAGAGCAGTTATGAACAATTTTAAACATTACTTATAGACCTACCATCTAAGTTCAACAATTAACATTTTACCATATTTTCTTTTATATATGTATATTATTTTATTTATATATATATTTTTCCTGAACCATGTGAAGTTGCAGACATCATTGAACGTCACCATTAAATACATTAACAGGCATCCCCTAGAAATATTTTCTTACATATCTGTAAATTTAATATAATTTAGCATCCTATTTTCAAATTTATCCAATTTTGTGTTTAATCTTAAAGAACAGGTATTCTTGGACATCAAAGATTCCCCGAGAGAAAGCATGGTAGATAATACATAATTAAGAAGTTTGGATCTTTCTTTGGTCTTTAAAACAGTGAAAGGGATTTACCTTCTATCAAAGGTGAACAAGTAATTCTTTTGTGCAAGTCTCTCTGTCTCCTTCCTAAGAAAACATAAGGTAGTTATCATCTCTAGGAAGTTTTCCAAATAGGAGATTATGTGTTCTGGATTCTTAATATCTGCCCTCATCCCCACCCCCTGCCCTACAAGTGATTAACTGATTTTACATCTTGGTGATGGTGAGTTCTGGCTTTTCATGATTAACTGATTTGGGGTACCTATTCTGCCACACATGGTTTCTTGTAATGTTTTTCAGCAACACCTTAGAGTTGGTATTCACACTCCCCATTTTATAGAACAAAGAGGCTTAAGGATTAAATGACTTACTAATAAGTGACAGGGCTAGAATATGAAATGAATTTTCCCTGACTACATATCATACTCTCCACTATATTATGTTTTGGATTTTTCCAAAGGGCCCAGATAAGATTGTTGCAAAATAAGTGGAACTCAACACACTGTAATAAATGTCTTGCCAATCAATTTGTCCTTCCTAATCTTTTAGGTATTTGCTTGAGAGAATGTTCTCTTGCAGTTGTGCAAAAGTTTCTTTTGTTCCTAAACTTTTTAATAATCCCAGACCCTTTAATAAACTCTTCCCATATCCAGATCCTCTCACTAAATTGTATAATTTGTTACTGCTGACTTCATAATGCCCTTTTTTCCCATAGCCTGGTTTAAGAAGTTGATATGCTGAACCATGTTAGCCTGGCTATTTGTAAATGAAACTATGGAAATGATTTGGCCATAATTTCCAGAAGATAAGTGACCATTGTTAAATTTCTCCTGCTCTGCCGTGTGTATTCATACAAATAATATTTCATGACTTGGACTGATGGCATGGCATGAGAGCTCAGATTCAGATAGCTTAGGCTCAAATCCCAGTGTGTGACTGAGCAAGATTCTTTTATCTAGATAAATTAGTTTTTCTGTCTGTGAAATGGTGATGACAAGACAATTCTTATAGAATTGTTTGTAAGGATTAAATGAGGTAATATATCTAAAGCGCTTGTGCTGTTACAGAACAAGCTATTCCCCATTGCTTTCCCAGTTTTAATATCTATTTGCAAGTCTTTAAAGAAGGAGCTTTTTTAGTTTAGACTTAACCCTTACCCCCACCCCAACCTAATGGTAAGAACCTGGGTTTATATTAAATAACTTTTAACTTCCTATTACTATAAACTTTATTCCTTCTAATCTTGATCTAGTTCTTTGAAAAGATAGTAGTTGCAAGTGAAAATGTATGTACAGAAAATGTCTGGTTCCAGCTTGACAATTTTGTATTTGTATATTTCTGTCATATATTAGCTGACTCTAATGCGTGGAGGTTTGGCTCATGCCTCTAAATTACATAGCTTTTCTTTCCTCTGTGTTGAGTGGTTGTTCAAAGATTGTGCTCTGTTGATAAAAGCACGTGTCTTCTGCCTGGATCAGAATTATCAGAATACAAGCATTTATTCAGCGCTGACCCAGGAGAACCATTCATTTAGTCAAAATAAGAATTCATATTCATTATCCTGAACAAAAACCATTCTAAATGGGAATATTTCTAGCTGCTCACTTTGCTAATTATTGGGCTGGCCAAAAAGTCCTCTGATTTTTTTCATAAAACCAAAGACACATTCTTCATTTTCATTCATTATTGATTTGGATATTTTGAGTAAGCATGTCAGCTATTTCCCACATGGTATAATGTTGATTGTTTTCAATGTCTCAGTTTGATCGCTATGAACTTCAACTGGTCTACCTGATTATGGATTATCACTTAGCAAGAAATCTTCAGCACAAAACTTTGCAAACTACTTTGACACGTTCCATCAGTTACAGCACCTTCTCCAAACACTGTGCAAATCTTTTTTTGCATTTCAGTTGCATTTTTACCTTTCTTGAAATAATAAAGCATAATATGCCAAAAATGTTGAGTATTTTCTTCCATCTTCAGTATTAAAATGAGTACACAAAAATTTTTTTTAAAAAAATCCATACTGATATGACAGCTGTCACAATACAATCTAACAAAATAGTTTTGAATGAAGTAAAAGACAACTAAGCTCTACTAGAAGCTTTTTC